AAGCACATTTATTTATTGTGGTTCATATGAATCTTGGGAAGAACAGCACCGTCACTCAGTAAAATGCAACAGCGCGTGTTACATGCAGCAATCCTTCCGAGACGCCATTAACCATGTGGCTGGTTTACACGTGCGTTATTCATTAACCCTTTCTCTTAAACCCAATTCTACTGCTGATAAACCATCTTTGTCTTTGACAATCACATTTGCACATCACTATTCGAATATTACTTTAATCCTAAGCTGTATGTCTGTCTATACCATCCACTTCTATCGGTATCTTACACCCATTATATGTACTGTATGTGGACAGTATACGTACTGTATATCACCATTGTACAGCTTACTACTTTACATGTGTTCTATGCTCAATAGCATTGCAAGTAGTCATACTCTGGGTACATGGGCATGGTTATAGACTAAACAGTATTAGAGTTAGAGAATTACAATGACAATAACTAATTACAGTGCGTCATCCCTTTACAATGCACAGTGCTAAAACGCCTCTAATTGCATATATCACAAACGAACAATTCAAAGCCAAGCTTAAAGTCTAAAACAAGTCTAGAACAAGTCTAGGACATTTAAATAACGATCAAAAACAACCTTTGGGTTCTTTACCTGTAAAATGCAACAGCGCGTGTTACACGCAGAAATCCTTCCGAGACGCCATTAACCATGTGGCTGGTCTACACGTGCGGTTATTCATTAACCCTGCCAGCCACCTACAGGCCCGACTCAGACATTACATGCTGCTGTACACACATGCATTGATGCATTGCACAGCACATCAGGACTTTCACAGAACCACACTTTACTCCCTTGCTGCACAAGGACACACATAAAAGAGTGATCCATTCCTAATGTGCCACACATGTTATGTATATCGTTTAGTGTTAAATTCGAATCACAGTTCTTATGATTACTGTTGTTACATTGCTTTTATAGCTTTATTTTGGTGATTTCGAAAACATATGGTTAAGCCATGTTTCTTGCGGAAGTGGGGAGCTGGCCTGATAACTTTAATCTAAATTGTCTTATGGTTGTTATTATTTGACTTGCATCACACTGGGATTTTTGTACACAGCGTTGTAATACGTCTTTTTTTCTGGAAGATTTGCTAGTTTATCCAGGATGTTTCTGTTGCGCGTCGTCGCTTTAAGATGTTCTCTGTTCATATGTTGTTTGTTGCGGTTGCTCACACGGCTATACCTAATAAATGAAACTTGAAGACTGAGTCGACCTAGGAGGTGGGCCTGGAACAAGTTCCAACATGGCTTACAGTGGTTAGCTGTGGCTGAAAATTTAACTCAGGTAGCTGAGTTTCTAGCACACTAAACACCATTGTTCCCAAACTATTCGGTTACATGTATGCGTTCTAAACATTCTCTGCAACTCTGTTTTCTTATGAAAACTGCAAAACCATAACATTTCTTCGAATGTTGCTGGATGGTTTTGTCTTTACAACCACCAGCAATAGGTATTTTTGAATGGGGCTCTTTCAGGACATAAACTCAATTGTATTGGCGCACCTCAGGGGCTCCATTTATTGTATTCTTCCTCCTTTTATCTGTGTAGATCCATCACCTGATGCCATAAAGACTGTAGTGGTTATGAGCCCACATGACAGAGGATACTTTTGTATTTTACCAAAGCTGTTAGCTGTGCTGTCAGGTAGCTTCACCTTAATATCATCAATTCTCAAATAATTATATGCTTTCGTTTTTTTCTCTCATAGCTTTTATGTGACAAAAACACAGCCCTTTTATAATTGAAGCGGTCACATTTTCTAATGTAAGGAACCTATAAATACGTTAAGTCACTTTAGATATGCCGCTGGGAACCTTTTAGAGATGTCTGTATCTATTTGTGATTTTTTTTTCTCTACGGGTCTACTTGTTCATTTGGCTGGTGGCAGTTCTGTAGTTAATGCATTTGATTAACAAATGTAAGGTGGAGAATTATCTTGGCCAGGGGTTGACCCATCCCTTTGGGCTCGATAAAATGAATGAAACTTTCTAGGAATGCAACAGTGGTCGTCCTATGAAAATATTGGCCCTGCCATAGAAATGTGGAATGCCAGCTACTGCCCTAGAGCCTCTGATGGATATAAGTGCAGACCTTCATTGGCTTGTTTAAGCAGGAAGTCAATTTTACTATGATCTGAAATAATATTATATGATGGTTCATCAGCTGATTTTAGAATAGCAAGCGTGCACATAATTCAACACAAACTATAAATTATACGTCTTCAGCCATTCTCAATCCACGAATGGATGAATGCCTTCCCATGTCATGTTGGGCATGATGGTAGTTTTTAACCATACTTAAACCATGCTGGCTAGTGTGTGATGTAAAGCGGGGGGGGGGGGGGGTGCGGAACCGGTTCAGAATCGGTTCAGAATCGCTCGATGTTCGTCCTGCCAAGTGCAGAGTGCACACATTAATCTGCGGCCGTCTGGATCTATGCACTTTTAAATCATCCAGATTTAAAAATCATTTCTTTACAACTCCTCTTTCTGTTTAGTTTGTTGTCCTTCCCTCGCACCTCCGATTAGCACGGCTGGCTATGTACGGTGGGAAATAAGTTGAACATACATGCATACTCCACCACAAGCTCAAATGTAACTACTTACTGTATGACTATTTAGTGTACAGACATGTTTATGCACAAGGAAGCAGCGATATTGCATAACGACGTGTAAATGAAATCTGCAAAAGCTACAGTAACATTAACCTGTTGATCCCATAATCAACTGATTATGGGATTCATTATACAACAAAGTATTTGTGAGGACTAAATGCGTTAAACAATATAGTACTTGCACATTATATTGCGAATAAAGCCTTAGCGGGTGCTGGGTTTCATTAGATGCTTCAAATAATGATCTTTGGTTGTCAGAAGATATTAAAAACATCTCCACGGGCACTGTGTGTGCACAACAGTGCCTAAAATAAGTGTGAGGTCTATTGTGAGGGGGCAGGAATTGTCTCAGCTTCTTTCTCAACGTGGAGGAGGATTTTGTCGGTTTTTAAATGTATTTTATTGTGCAGTGCAAGAGAGAAAGAGCGATGTGCAGGGGAGAGAGGAATTTCGCAGCCCGCGACTCGAATGATGACATCCTTCAGACAGCTGATTCATATTTTGCTTTTTGTTATAACCATCATATGCCGATTAAGTTATCAGAGGCACGTGATGAGGTGACAAATGGAATTCTAACATTTTCACAGTCATAAGGGCATCACATCATTTATTACTATAATGAGCCAAGATTGTGTCCCGTGCGTAACGTCACTCCACGTCGGCCAACCTCCATAATTAATAATCATGAGCAGGTGACGTCACTCCATATCGAACAGCCCCCCACATTAATAATCATGAAGAGGTGACGTTACTCCACATGGGGGGGGGGGGCAAGGCGCCTCCTCCCCCCTCCTCAGCGTCAACTTACAACCCTCACGACAAAGGCAGAACCCTCACGTCACGTGATCTCCGTAACGCTGTTGAGACATGGAAGTAAAAAGGACGTCATGATGAACAAGGGATTATAACCTTTAAATGAAATAAGTCTGTTACCGCAGCCTTACAAATTGCACACGAATGGATGCAATGAATATGACGTCGTGGTCTGCTTTTCGCCTGCAAATTTCAGATTTACTGAAATACACTCGTCCTTGGACGGGCAAAAGGCTAGTGTGAGATAACAGCTCCAGAAGATGATGCCACACCACACAACTACATTTAGAATCACTTTCATAGGCCTCTATCAACAAAACAAGATGTCGCTCCATAATTTTCTGTAAAGATAGTTTGTTACATTGATAATGAACATATTACTCAACGGAACTGGGCTGGGCCAAATTATGCAGTGAAACAAATGTTTTGTTATTTCATGAATCATTGGTGACCATGCTGATATCATCAATGCATTACACCCAAGAACCGAGTTTAATCACAATTACTGCCAACTCGGCAATCTGACCTCTGAGGCACCCACCTACATATGTATTTAAATTATCTTTAACTTGGGGCGTTTTGAGAGCTGAATTGTAAGCTGGCCGACTTTATCCAATAACTCTTGAACTGTAGAAGTCAAATTCCTACTCAGGGCTAACTCAGCCCATTATACTTTTGGGGTTAATTAACTGAAATGAGCATTGCCGAGTGGGAAGGCAAAAATGTTAAATGAACAGACTGGCCCATTCCATAAGAATGTGGAATTATCAATGCCGCGTGTGGTCTTCAATAGAGATGAGAACCACCCCAATAATTATTTGAGCAGGAGAATTTGCTAAATCATAAAATATATCTTCTCCTCAGACTTAAAAATATCGCAATTCCACACTTACAATTTTAGAACATAACTAACATTTATTTCATATCCACAACATTTTTTTGTTAGATCGCGTAAATACAATTGTGCCATTAAACCTGCCACCACCCGACACAGCCAATTTTAGTTCATATTTTTATAAGAATAATGGACAAAAAGACATCTTCACCATTTCCATCACCACTTCCTTCAATTCAAAAGGTTGTTTGTGCCTCGCCACTCAAATGACCGTCGGGCAGCACTCACCTCTCTTGGTGGCTGTGAACCGGGAGTGGAAATGCTACATTATTGCGCCAGGGACAAGCCTCTGCAATGCAATCACTATTGACTTCCCACAAGTGTTGCTCATTTTATTGACCAAGTCAAACCCATGACCATGACTTGAACTCAGGAAAACACATATCAGAGGCTAAAGTATTGGTCAATGGCCCTTTCGCAGAGCTGAGGAGGCATTTTTGTCAATATCTGTCAATGCTTTCTCTGCTATATATATTTTGTACGTGATATTTTCTGGACCATGGAATTGTTCGTGACAACGGTGGTGAGGTATTTTCAATCTGTACCTATACACCCGCTATGCATGGATTCGATTAATTTTTATTTCGTTTTTGTAAAATACAACAAATATCCACGTCATTGAATAGAAATAAACACTAAAGTCACAGCTATATTTTTCATTATATTTATTGTGGTCAACGTGTACAAGAACCACCCCAGGCAACAAATGCAATTACGTACAGCATTCACCACTAAATGACGGTGGCGTCACAGTGGCATTCTATGTTGACTTGGTGCTCTTTACTACCACACGCATTAAAGGCTTATTGACAGATGGTCAAAGGACAAACCCATGTGCTATGGTTGGGTTTTCAGGCCAAAGTGGGCCAATTTGTACACCAACTGAGACCTCCACAACCCCACTTGCTGCCTAAACACCGCCTGGGTCTTTGTTTACTCGGCGCATTACTCCTCCACCGCCTGTTGTTATTGGAGGGCAGCCACCACTATCAACCCAGTGGCACCCTTCATAATCATCTTCTACAGATGCCGGTCCTTAAACTGCCATTGCCAGCCGGTGGCAAATCCACTAGCCCAGCTACAAGTCCACTTGGACTTCACAAACATGACACCGCTCTCTCTCTCTGCCTTGTATGATGTTTGTCCATTCCCCGCAGCAGCTGCTGGATTATGCAAGCAAATGGGAAAGTGTGATCGTTAACCTCAGATCAGGATGTAAATACATGACTTCCAAACTGCGAGTGCTCTGCCAGAACACCAACCAGCTGGTATATTAATTTGGTTATTATAATTAATGTAATTGGGTGGAGCGATGGTGCATTGGTTCACGCATTGTGCTGTGGACCTGACAACCTGCGTTTAGTTTCTAGACATACTTAACATCAGTGGTGCGTGACATCTGAATCAGTCCAACCCCCCCCCCAACCCCTTTCATGACCTCAGGGTCACAACATTTAAATGAGCATTTCTGCATATCCATGGCTCTTGGTAATATTCATTTAATGAAACACGTCTGCAAACTGTCCCAGGTAATACTATTTTGATGTTACTGTTGCTTTGAGGAAGCCATGCACCCTGAGAAAATGAGCCTTCTAAACCAGCTGCGGTGTTGTCCAATGCCACTTGGTCTGCGCAGGTATCGACATGGCCGTGCGCTCAGCAGGTGCTTCCTGACGGGGTGCAGCACTTTGCCAGCGCGCTCATGGCTCTCATCAGAGCCGCTGGCATCAAGCACCTTCACGTCTTCGTCAGGGCCATGGACGTACAGCTGGAAGCAAAGAAGAGAAGCAGAGGGTCACCCTGATGGATTTAGCTTCATTTACTCTTTGCAAAATGCACGTGTTCCTAATTTCACAATTCATACTGTTAAGAAAAGCAAGGGGTTTGGGCAGCACATGTTGCTAGAAGGGATGATGACCGGTGGTTAAGATTAGTGACGGGGTGGCAGCCAAGGAATGGAATGCATCCAAGTGGACATCCACCGGGGAAGTCGAGCGATGAAATCCGCGTGTGTGCCGGTGCTGGGTGGATTGTTGCATCACAGAACTATCAGCGATATTGATGACTTGGGGAGCCTTTAACCAGTAGTGGATTGATTTTTGCTGAAGATGATTAATATTTACAATGTTATGGGTGCCATCTGCATGAACGCGCATACATCATGTCTAGCACTGGCAATTCTAATAATCGAACCAAGGTATATAAAAAAGGAATATGAATAACGAGTATATACATTAATAGCCTATTCTTTGGGTCTTTCGGTAAAGCCACGTAGATAGAAAAAATAATCAAAATAATAACAATATCACTAAGTTTCGATCGCAACACAAGCAATGGTCTTCAAGTGTACCTGTTCCTGAGGCTTCTGGTAAGTGCAGTTATCCTCCACATCTTGCATTTCTTGCCGCTTGAAAAGCTTGGATTGCTGCTTGTCTTCAGAAGTAATATCATGACGAGGTTCGGTGCTACCATCCCAGTGGCTTTTAGCAATTTTCTTGGGGCATTCACAACTGTCAATCACATAATCTTCCAGGCTGTCTGTTGCCATGCTTCTAGTTAAGGGTTTAAATAAGTTGTCCAAGCTGGCCTCAGCTTGTGAAAACTCCTCATCGGTTTGCTGGAGGACTGCATCGATATCTGCTACCGTATCAATGATCCATTTGTGGAAGTGAGTGACAGCCCGGTCAAAGCTATCCAATGTGTCCTATGGAGAAAAAAAATATTTTTAACGTGTTTATAAATTACATGTCATTTGCAAACAGGCTTGAGTGTCATTAACTGATCTGAACATGTTATAATATTAACAATAACCCTTATAGTATCAACATTCCTTGAGCATCCAGTCATGTCAATGTATGTACATACACATCTTCATGTTATAATTTTTTTTGCAATTCGACGTTATATTGTTAATGGTGCTATCAGCATCATGTCATTGGACAATTATGCAATTATTACACTATGTAACACAATTTTTGTTCCTGGGTACTAAGTGTTATTTTTTTATTGCTTATGCCCAAAAAGTATAGAAAATGGCCATTATTCCCCAAAAACGTTGCTTTATTGACCAGGACTTTATGTGAACGAAAGACACAAATGCACACGTTTTCTCATTTAAAATAGGTAAATTTAAAAATATCACTGTCCTGGTCACAAAAGCAAAGTTTGTCGCGAATAATAGACATTTTCTGTACTTTTGAGGCATAAGCAATTCGGAAATAGCACTACCCAGGAACAAAAAATGAATAACAAAGTGACTTAACATTTTGAAATGCGTGGCAGCCAAATGTTCGAAACGCATGTTAATTCTAAATGTGGAGGGGAAAACCCGGAGGACCCGGATAAATCCATGCGACCACGGGGAGAGACGTGCAAACTTCAAATAGACAGGCGTCAGGGGTCGGGATCGAATCCCACGCACGCCTCGATACCAGGCGAGGTAGTTAGCATCTCGCCACCGCAGCGCCCCAGCTTGGAATAGGTGGGAGTGCCCACACTCAACCTCACCACACGCAACCTGCAGATTGCCCGTGGTGGACTTTTACTGCTGGGTGGACAGAGGCGGGGGAGATTTAAGAAGCTTGCTCATTGTTTCAACTGCCGCGCAAACTGGCGACCTCTGGATTGCAAATCCAGTGGGCTACCCATCACACCACATCGCCATTAACAAAAACAACAATGTTTTTTTTCAAATATAAAACGCCGTTAACGCCGGAGCGCTTTACATCACCGCGAGCCTTCCCTTGCCCATCACGTCTGGGGGGGGGATATTTAAAGTCCACTGTGAAGCCGACTGCCCCGCGTATTATTACATTATTGTCGTCGTCGTCGCTGGATTCGAACCGAAAACCGCTACCAACAGACGGACCCACGCTCGCTCTGCCAGAGTCGGTCGGTGGCCACTCACCTCCGCGGTTGTCTCAGTCCTCCTGGGAGAGAACTTGAGTTCAAACGCCGCCGTAGTCTTCACGTTGCGTTCTCCCATTGTGATTTGAGCGAGAGACTTAAGCCTTGTTAAGAAGTCACGAGACGCACCTTTTTGCGTGCAATTATTTTCAAATCACCCGTGCGTTCGTGGTCACGTCACAAGGATAACTATAAGAGGGCGACGTGGCTTCTCCTCCTGTCACACATTTACACGCATTATATAACCACGGTGCTTATGTAAATGACCACACTGCACTGAACGGTGGTTTTAGTTTAGCCCTAACCACAGTTAACCACACTTCGTGGCCGTAATCCCAATGACCTGCTTGTCCTTTACGTCGGGTCCTCACCCGAGCGATCAATAAGTTACCCAAACAACTATCTCGAAAGAGCGCAACTTAATTGAACGCAACCGCTTTGTCCATCCGCGCTTGCAGATGCGCAACAAGGAAATTACAATTGAGGAATGTCGCCACAAATCGCTGCGCCGGTGGCTTTAAAGTTAACTCCGTTTCTAGCAACCACCGAGTAAAAATCCCAACGTTGGGCAAAACTCTGGCGTGTGGTTGGAACCGTTGGACCAACGTTGACCCCAATTAAGTTGCACGTTCCATGGGCAGTTGCGCAACTGCCCACAACTGGTTATAGGCATCCACATAAGGAGCGATTCAGTTGCATGCAACGGAAATACAGCAGCAGAACACTGCATTATAGCCCAGCCGCAGGTGGCTCTTCACGCAGTGCTATCGCAGGGTGACTCACACCTGCCCTTACTTTAAAACACAGCCAAACTCACGCGTAATGATCACACCGACCTTTCAGTTCATGTAGATTGTAGAACAACCTCGATATGCAGAATATACACCCGTCTGTTAATCAACCATTGTAGACTGCTTGCGAATGTGTTATCCGGAGCTTTGAGATGCTGATATACACTTATATATTTTTTTCGCCCAATGAAGGTAAATCTTATTTATTAACATTTTTTTACCCATTTGTAGACCAGTGTTGCGTAGAGATGGCTCCCACTGGGGGCTCGCCTTAGTTCAGACTGTGGCAGAGCAAAGCAATGGTTGACATGATATGCTGTAGAGGCATTTAAGCGCCAAAAAATACGAATCGTTATACTGTTCAATCGTTAAACTGTCTTAGTCCTCTCGGCTCTTCTGGGAAAACTCTGCTTCCTGGATTTTGATTGGTTACAATGTCTTTATCTCTGCGATTAAAAATGCAGTATATATTTAGTGCACCAGCACAAACAATAATAATAACACAAACTCAACACGGGCGTCAATAGCACTATGCCCTTCAAAGCAAAACATATAATATGCGACGTTTCGGGCAATTGGCCTTCTTCATAGCACGGCTTGCACCACGTGCTCAGGTACTCCTTTTGGCACCGTCCAGCACTGTGATAGCGCCAAACCGAAATCCAGAAAGAGCAAAAATGGCAAGGATCCAAGTCGTACCACAAAGTACGACAAAGGGGGCCCCCCCACCCCACTCGCCCCCCTTCCCCTAGCCCCCGCCCCCCACTCGCGCTCTCCCCCAACGCCCCCCAACTCGGCCCTCTCGCGCATCACCACCCACGTGCCGGACTCCCAGTGCCCACTCCCTGCCCCTCCCTATGCGCTGGCTGGCACGTGGGCTGCGGCTAATCAAAACGCGCGCTAGTCGATGGGGTGCGCGAGGGTGGGGGGCGGCTGTGAGTTTGGGGTGTGGCCGGGGGGGGGGGGTCGCTTTGTGAGACTTTGCCATACGGTGCGTTCTCGCTTAACGCGTGTTCACACAACGTGCGTTCGCAATGACGCGGTTCTTCCATTAGGGAGCACTTTTCGCACAACCCGAAACGCGTACCGTTACAACAAAGAATGCTTACCCCGTTATAATGCGGTTTCTAAACGATCGACGACGAACTACTTTTACGAGTTGCGTGGTTGAGCGCTACAGTATGCGTAATGATAATATAACGCGGCAGCGTTGCCTCTGTTATTTGTCCCACCATGTTACTGTGTGTGTACATCGTATCTCGCCAAACGTTATCGTTACATCGTTGATGGTGAAATAGTTTTTCGCTAAATGCATGTTTCGCTTAACGCGGCACTTTTCATGAACACATCTACCATGTTAAACGAGGGCTTCCGGTACTGTGCGGTAATTAGTAGGACCAACAGGGCAACTCTAGTGGAAAACGAATTTCTTTGGAACTGCTTTTTGTATTCAGTTTGTTGTCCTTCCCGCACACCTCTGATTAGCACGATTGGCTATGTACGGTACATAGTGGAAGCTAAGAGTGGCAGAGGACGATCGACGAATAGATGGGCCGATAGAGCAGAGCAGACCCGAAAATTACATAGTTGGACACTTCAGCAACAGATGAGTCTATGTTGATCGCCAACACGTGACCGCTGTCGGATGGTAGTGGATTTATCGTCCTCGGTGAAGGGGCTGGATGGGAAATGCGAGACGGCTGTAGGCAGCAACATGACGAACATTGCGTATAGCAGCATCCTTATTGCAGCCCTCACGCACAAAGCCCACATCATCTTACTTCACATTAAATGCCCACGCGGAGAGGTAGATGTAAATGAGTTACCGCTTTGCGTGACTCGCCCCCACCATGTGAACGCGGATTTTTCACCACTGGCCAAAGGCTGTACATAGGAGATGAGCACCGCCTCAATGACTACGTGAGCTGGAAACAGTGACTGTACACGTGCATAAAACGGCATCGTTTATCTGGCTTCAACTTCCATTCTAACATGCGCTGCAAGCAGACTTCTGGGAAATCAAGTGACCCGTATCTTGCGTGGTGAACAGGGTTGCTCGGGAAATCCTAATTCTCATTGCCACTCGTAAGAGCTGTTTAACTAAACGTCTATCAGAGTGATGGACATTTTGTCCGTTGTTGGTATATCGGATCATCTTCCGAGGATTGATAAAATGGGTACAGCCCTGTGGAAAATCGACATCGGTTCCCCTTGTGATAGAGCATCATAATGTAATGCGGTTGTAAACGGCCCTTCTGAGGTGCCGTCAGGGGGGGAGGAGTTAGGTCACGTGGGGGGAGAGGGGTTGAGTATAGAAGGAGGGGAACCGGAAGAGCAGGGGGAGTGACTGGGAGCCAGGAACAGAGGAAGGCCACGTAGGGCGAAGCGGGGTGTGGCGAGATCGCCACGAACACGGGGGAAGCGAGGATCGGCACCGTTGGCCAGCGGTGACCGACCCGAAGCAGCAAGGAGGCTGCAGTCAGCAGCGGGGCTGCACAGAGAGAGTGGGCAGCGGGTCTGCATACAGTGACAGCCAGAGGGTCTGCACATAGGGGTAGCAGCAAGTCTGCAGGGAGGAGGTTACAGTAGATGAAGCAGAGAGTCAGAGGGGTGAGGAAGCTATAATAGCAGTGAATAGCCGGGGGCTACAAATACAGGAGTTATAACAGAGTGCCGTGTGGGTAAAGACGTGAACCTGAATAAAGACACGAAGACAGAAAGAAGTGTTCGAGTCCTTTTATTACACTGGAGTCAGAAGTGAAACGGCATGGCGAAACAACTGAGGAAGAAGAATATCCCATCTCCGGCGTCGGCTTCATCATCGGACGACGACGATCTTCCTCCTGAGGTCGGCTTCACTTCGGCGGAGGGAGAGATCCGTGAGGGCCCGGGTGTGGAGGAGGTTGCCGCTGCGTCCGACCCATCTGCGTTGAAGGACGAAGATTTAAGATGGACCCGGATGGCGGAGCAACTGGCGACCCTAAAAACCGTCATCACGGAGTTGTGTGACCTTGTCACGCCAAGGGCGGCGTTGGTAGGTGATGGTGGTGATCGGCAGGAGCCCGGGTCGTCTTCGATGGCGCCGCCATCGACCACGCGGCGTGAAGACGCCATCTTGGGCGTGGCGCACCACGGAAGGCGGGAAGCCGCCATTTTGGGGCCGCCACGAGGATCGTCCGCCATCTTGGAGACACCGCGTTGCGACGCCTTGCTGAACTTGCCGCCGGAAGAGTCGGTGACGGACGGAAGCAGGCCAAGGAGCCGCAGTCGTCACCTTACAACTGTTAAGGAGTTCTCCATCGGGGGCGATTGGAGTGCGTTCGCTTGTCGATTTTTGGCGGCGGTACGAACGGCAAGGTGGACGGACGCCGAGGCGCTGGAGGTGCTTCCGACTCTCCTTGACGATGAGTCTGTTCGTTTTTTTCGCTCTATAAAAGCTGCGAAGAAGAAAACATTGCGTGGAGTGTTCGACGAAATGGCGGACGCGTACGAGCCACCGGATGACGCCCATCGCCGCTTCGTGCAGCGGCAACGCGCACCGGAGGAGTCGCCTGTAGCGTACAGGGGCGCCGTGCTGGAACTCGCGATGGCCGCTTACCCGGAGACGGAGCCTGACCTGCTGGAACCTCTCATCTTGGGGAAGATGTTAGAGTTATCCCGGGATCTGGGCATTCCTATGCCGGCGTGCGGTCACGAGAAACTCACGTCCCGGACCGCGGCCAAGTGTTTGGACGCCCAGTTCAATCTCCGCCGCTGGAAACAAGTCACGGCGTGGACGGGCGGTCCTGTCGTCGATGGGGGGGCCGTAGGGTGGGACCCTACAAAGGCCGTGTACGTGCCGGATGCGACCGGCCCAAAGGAGCTGTCGGCCGCCTCCACTCCGTGGCCGGCTCGAAGCGAGCCGGGGCCGCGGGCTCCGCCGCCGGCGCGGCCACGTCGGGACGGGGTGCCTGCTGCGCGCCGACCCGACGTCGACTGTTTCCGCTGCGGCCGTCGGGGCCACTATGCCAGGGACTGCTGGGCCCGGGTTCCGGGGCCGCCCCAGCAGGAGGCCTCGATCGCGGACGTCCCAAAGAAAGACCCTCCGGCACAGGCAAGTCGGTGCGCACCAGACACCCGGCAAGGCCTGACACCTCACTCATCGCCGTTGTTGTGCGACGCGGATGTTCTAAAATATGGGAGGCCAGTATCTGCGCCTTGTCGCTCGATAACGCAGTGGCGTAAGTTGGCTCGGCGGGTTGTCGCGGCCGCTACAGGTTCGTCCACTGTACCGGGGTCGATCCAAGGGGTGGACGTGCGTATTTTGGTGGATTCCGGGGCGTCCGCGACCATTATTTCGGATGTCATATTCCATCTTTTGAACATCCCACCGGGGGCCGTGAGGCCGGCTTACGCTTCCTGCATCGCTGCGAACGGGGGTAGTATG